TTAGGCCGCTTAACTGTAGCTTTACCAAAAATTGATGTCTTAATTTTTGTTCAATACTTAAATACTTTTGATATAACCTTATAAATATTTTTTTCAAAATTAGTTACTAATAGAAGTTATAAGTGAGTGATATTTTTTGTTGAAAATGCCAAGAGTAAGTCCCTTTTGGGCGTATTTTTTAAGAGACACACCAAAAAAAGATATTGCTCAGTGTAAGCTATGTCCAACACAAATAGGCACCAAACAGAGCACTACGACTGGTTTGAAGGTTCACATCAGAGGTTGTCATAATGAAATTTTTCTCAACATTGGGAAAGAAAATTTAAAACGAGCACCAGAAACAACAGCTGAGCAGCTTGCACAAGAATCAATTTTGGACACTCATGGGCCAATAGCTTTAAGTGCAAAAAGAGTAAAGATGGACATTTCATCGTATTGCAAGGTTGTGACAAAATATGGAACAAACGACAAGCCACAGTTAATAGCTGACTTGGATATTGTGAAATATTTGTGCATGGGAAATTTAGCTTTTCAACATGTTTCATCACCTGCTTTTAAAGACTTTTTATTAAGCCTTCGTCCAGAAATTATTATTAGAGCACCATCAACATATTCAAGAAACAAACTTCCAATCCTTTATTCTAATGTTTTTGAGGCAGTTCTTAATGTTTTAACACATGACTTAAAAGATGTAGATGCAGTTGGATTTACTTCAGATCTTTGGTTCAGCAAAAGCAATGAGTCATTTGCAGCCTTGACACTTCATTATATTACAACTGGCTTTGAACTAAAGACATTTTTGCTGGGCTGTAATGCTTTTCCAGACAGCCACACAGGTGACAATATTTTAATTAAAACAGACACATTAATTTCTGTTCTACCTTTCAATAATGGTTGTAAAATGACTTCTGTCACAGATAGTGCAGCAAACATGATATCTGGGATGAAAAAATCAGCCAAAATTGATGAAAGTATTTCCTGCATTGCACATTTACTTCACCTTGTTATTATCAAATCTGTCAAAGAAGTCGATGAGATTGAAAAAGTTTTTCAGGTAAAAAAATGTTTAGTCATTTTCTCCTCTTGTTTACAAAACTATGAAAAATGCGATAGTCTATTTTCTCAATAGTAAAAAATTTTAAAGAATGCATCAATACCATTTACCTGCATAAAGGTGCAACCAACAAATGAATAACTTTCAAATCCTATGTTTTTTTTTGTTTATATATTTTTTTTAACCAAAATAATTTTTTATTTCAAAGTGTGCAAAACACTCTCAGCACGAACTCAAAAATCAATCAACAGTCAACAGAGAATTATGGAAGCATGTAATGATGTCATACCTGAGAAAATCAAATTTAATAAAATTATTTCTCCTTGTCCTACACGTTGGAATAGTGGTTTTATGTGCATGGATTCAATATTACATTTACGATTAGCTCTTGAAATAATTGCAAGCAGCAACCTTAAAACGGACGACATTTTAAGGGCTTTAACTCCATCTTCTGATGAGTTTGATGTTATTGAAAAAGTAGTGCCGATCATGAAACTGTTTAATGATTTTACAGAGGTTGTTTCATCTGAAAAAATCCCAACTTCTCAGAGAGTTGTTCCAGGACTGTTTGATATTCAAGAGAATATTAAAAAGCTTATACTGCCAAATGACAAAATTACAGGAGACTTTGTTTCTAAACTCCTTTCAAATCTTAACAAACGATTTCCAGACTGTGGTTCAAGACAAAAAAACAATGCTTTAGCTCACTTACTTGATCCCAAATTTAAGGGTCTCCTTTTGACAAGGTTTGGCCAAGACGATGTCGCACTCAGAGATTTAAAAGAAATTTCAATAGGAAAGCAACCATCAAATTTGATTGAAAATACAACACAAACAGTGTCACCCAAACAAGATTTGTCTCCTGCCGAACAACTTCTTTTTGAAATGATGGGTCAGGATTCTAATGCCTCTGAGCTTTACAGATCATCAAAAGATTCTCCATTTGATATAGAACTAGAAGCTTACAAGAGGCTTGGATTTCCAGATAAAAATTACAATATTTTGGAATGGTGGAAAATTCATTCACCTCAACTTCCAATTTTGTCTAGAGCTGCTAAGAAAGTCTTGTGTGTCCCAGCGTCATCAACTTCTTCAGAGCGTGTGTTTTCACAAATATATTTCCGGAAATATTGTGTCATGTAAAAGAACTTTACTAAAAGCCGAGACAATAGAAAAACTTGTGTACGTTAAAATCAACATTAGTAAAGTTACTATTAAAAAATGGCTAATCGAGGAAGAAAATGTTTCATCAGCTGACGCGATAGACTAATTTTTGTTTTGTAAAACTGTTTATGAAAAAATATACAATTAATTGAGCTATAATTTTTTTTCCAAATTGCTAAAACATATTTCAAATATTGAAGATAACTTACGGTATTAGACTCTTCAAATTCCTCTAATTAGAAAAAATGGGTCTTGAACACAAAAATAGCATTCTAAAATTCTAGAATCTCGTTTAATATCGTATAATATCGTAAAATATCGAACTGAATATCGATAAGTTCGAAATTCAGTAAAAATATATCCAGTTTCAATATTGAAGTTCGATACTGTGTTTATGTAATATCGTAGTATCGACAATATCGACTTTTATGAATATCGCAATAGCTTAGTAAATATTATGCAGACGATACTAAAATCCTGAGTGTTGTCAAAACCACTGAAGACAAAGCTCGTCTGCAATTCGATATAGATAGCGTTGTTACCTGGACTCGAACCTGGTTAATGGAACTCAACATCAAGAAATGCAAAGTCATGCATTTCAGTAAGTACAATGTTTCTCCACACATTTATTTAATGAACGAGTACGACGCTAACGGTAGCGTCACTAGAACAGTAATTGAGTTTTCAACATCCGAAAAAGATCTAGGCGTTCAAATTTCCAACGACTTAAAATACGAGAGGCAAGCACAAATAGCCACTGCCAAGGCTAATAAAGTCCTCGGGACATTGAAAAACACGTTTATAACCAGAGATACCAAAATATGGAAAAAACTTTACACCACTTTTAAACACCCACATCTCGAGTTTGCAGTTACTGCCTGGTGCCCGCATCTTGAAAAAGACATAAATGTCATAGGACGTGTTCAGCATCGGGTTACCAAAGTACCGCATGAAATAAAGCGCTTCGATTACGAGACAAGATGCATCAAACTCGGTCTCACCTCTCTATTAAATAGACATTTACGTGGCGACCTCATTCAAAAATATAAATTCGAAAACAGTATCGACTCAATTAGCTGGCATATAGATCCACCTAGCATCCCACCTAGCTACATTCATCGCAAGCATTTTCATCGTGAAATGGACAACAACTGCCTTGTTCGCTATAATTCCTTCAACAACCGCGTCGCTCACCCATGGAACGCATTACCTAACGTAGTAGTCAGTGCTACCAGTGTCGATCGCTTCAAAGCAAAATTCGATCAGCTTTAATAATTACTACAGCGCATCATCTTCCATGCAATTTCGCACGAGCTAGCACGGCTAGCTGTTGATGGGCTTACGGAACACGCCCGCTTTATGTAATTTAACTTTTAACTTAACTTTACACAAGCACATAAAATAGTTTTTACTTAGGTATGTTTTATGCTTTATAGAGAATTTAAAAATCAAAATATTCCATAATAGTCATAAAAACAACAAGGTTTTTATAGCACAACTTAATTATGGGTGGAGGAGGGACATTTTTTAACTATATTCAATATTACTATGAAATTTTAACATTAACTATCAATTCCTCAGGTTTTAAAACTATGGCCAATTAAAACAGTGACAAAAAATAAAAAAATCTTAAACCTAATGTACAAATATACAAATATATATTATAAATACAGATACAAATATATATTATAGATACAAATATATATATATTAAATATATAAATATATATTATAGATACAAATAGAAATATATATATATATATATATATATATATATATATATATATATATATATATATATATATATATATATATATATATATATATATATATGTATATATATATATATATATATATATATATATATATATATATATATATATATATATATATATATATATATCTGTGTGTGTGTGTGTGTGTGTGTGTGTGTGTGTGTGTGTGTGTGTGTGTGTGTGTGTGTGTGTTTATAAATACATAAATTGCTAGTATGAAAGCACAAAATGCCAGTTTTTTGTAAATACTTTTTTATTCATACCTATTTAGTCTAGATGAGATAAATAATATGTTTTTTCTATAGTTGCGCAGCCATCTTTTTTTATATGAAGGCCTTTTAGAATTGGCCTCTAAAATGTAACATACATGGCCGAGTAATATAGTAGGCCATAGTCCTCTACTTAAAGTCTTCTTGGATTATTTTTCTATGCTGATGTTTCAAAAAAATTATATATTCAAATTACAATGAAATTAGCATTTGCTAAGATTGGTCACTTTATTAAAGTAGATATTTTCTTTTTGATTTCTAATTACTGACTTTTTTTAATTACAATATTAACATACCTTAAAAAAAAGTTTAATGTAACCAAAGCATAAAAACTTGGAACAACCCTACATTGTCATTATCTATTTATGTGTAATTTATTTATTTTTAAATATATATATATAAAAAAACATCTAAAGACATTCAAATACTAAAACATCTGGCAATATACAAATAAAAAACTTAAAAATATTAAACAATATAAAATATTGGAAAAAAAAACAAGCAATGATAAGAAAAAAAATATCAATGGTATACAGAGATTTCTTAGGTATACTTGTTTACTAAGATGTACAGAGTAGATTTTCTTAGGTATAATTGTTGACTAAATAACAAGGAATAGATGGAAGAAGTACAAAGATTGAAAGAAGATATAGCTAAATTTAATTAGTTTGGTTTAAAGATTTATTTGGTTAATCTTTAACTTTTTGATTGATCTAAAATAATGAAAAATGGATTTTACCACAAGACATATAGTGTCTTCGTGCTGCATTGATAAATGAGGATTTACCCACATTTGGTATTCCACATACTAACACTTGATACTGTTTGTCTCTTAATTTTATTTGTTGAATATTTTTCTAAAAAAATAAATAAATAAATAACATCGACTAATTATCTATTTTCCACGCGACTAAACACTGACACAAACACCACATACTACATAAGTAAATCATACTTCCTTAGCTTCAATTTCATTTGACTGTATGAAGATATCTTTTAACAAAGGAAGTAACTATATTAAACAGATAAAATGGATTAACAAGAACAAAAAAATATTCATGCATTTAAAGAACATTAAAAACTATAATAAAAGCTTACATTTCAAAAAAATTTGTTATACATAACATTTTGTAACTTTAATTTTTTCTTTAAGGTGTTTGAACTTTTTAATAAATAAACAATTTAAAAATAATAATAAAAAAATTAAGCTAAATATAAAGTTTAAAAAAAATTAAAAAACATGAACAGAAAAATTAAACTCTTTAATAAATAAAATTATCACAATTTTTTTAACTATTTGATTTTTTGCAAGCATTTTTTTTTTTTTTAATTTCAATTCATCTCCTTAAGGCCATGAAGGCCACTACAGTCAAGAAGGCTACTTTAATTGTGGTTACAACCCCCTCTCAACTCTGTAATTCTGAAAAACAAACTTTAAACAAGGCCGCTGCACAGAGATACGAGTCAAGTGTTATACTACAAGAGGCATATTGGGGATCAAACTTGAAGAGCGACTAAATCCTGATATGCGGATGATCAATCAAAAATGGCGTCATACACCCAAAACAACATTTTGGGTATATGACACCATATACCCAAAATGTTGCTTTTAAGTAATACTTAAAAAAATATTTTGGGTATATGGCGCGTATATCTTTTTAAATAGATAACATACGTTTGTTTTTGTTTTGTGTTTAAGACAAATGAGCACAATGGAGCAACAAGGTAATAAAAAAAATTTATTTTTATTTATAAATTAATTTCCTTTATAAACACATTTATTTTCTTTTATTTATAAACACATTTTTATTTTATTTTATATATCTTATTTATAAACTATTTAATTTTTTTATTTATAAACTATAAAGTTTATAACCTATAAACTATTTTTATAACTATAAACTATAAACTATATTTATAAACTATAAAGTTTATTTATAAACTATTTTATTCATTAGATATTTATAAACTATTTTATTTATAAACTATTTATAAAATAAATTTATTTTATTTATTAACACAAATTATAAAACTATTAGTGAAATATCACAGCAGCAAAATAATATTACAAAAAGAATAAACTTATATAGCTTGATAATGTAACCCGTAAAAAAAAACTAGGCTTAATGCATTTAAATAATTGTAATTTATCCATTTAAAAAAATATACACGCTATATACCTAAAACGTTGTTTTCAACACTTGAAAAACAATTGTCAACTCTCTAACTTATTCTAATTTTTCCATTTATCATTAATTGTGAACATCGCCCTCAACAAACTTTTTATTTTTATTATTAACATAGTTGCAATTTTCAAAATAATATATATATAAAGAATAAATTTGTTTACCTGATTAGCAGATTCCTCAAAGTGTGTTTTACTGTTAGTAAATATAACTGGAGTATTTTCTGATTCAATTGATTTAGCTAGCTTCTAAAATATTTATTTTTGTGGTTACACCAACATGTTTTTGTATACCATACTAATACGAGACTCATTATACACAAATGAGACACTTCTTGTTACACACATTATACAAGCTATTATGAAATATTTGGTTTTTTATTAACATACATAAATATTGCAACATTTTAAATAAGAATTGCAGAACTTGTAATGTATTAATTATTGCTAAAGTAATTTCTACGAGAGCACACTAAATTACACACCATAAATAATTAATAGAGATTTTGCATGAAAACACGTTTTTTTCTTTATGAAAAGATTTCTTTAACCACTAAAGTCTTTAATCACTCAAGTTAAAATTTATCACTGTAATATAATTAACAAATATTTATAATAAACACTAATATAATTAACAAATATTTTAACTTTAAAAAAAATTAAATAATTTATCAATTATATTTGAAAATAAATATTTATACAAATGAGATCTAATAAAGTCAAAGTTTCTGTACTGACAAATAAAGAATACATTTTGTTATTTATAAAAATTTAAATATATTTATACATTTATATATTTTGCTATATTTATATAAACGGATTTACTATATATTTATATTTACTAATTATTTATACTTATTTATGTCTATTTCTATAAAATTTTTGTATCTTGAGTTTAAATTAAAGAGTTAAAATTTATAAGCTACTGCAAACCCCAATCTGTTACAGAAGTAAGATCAGATTCAAGATCAGCTGCCTGTTGCAAAGCAATCAAAAAAAGAAGACTTTTTTCAAGACAGGAGTATAAAGTCAAGTCATCAACAAATAGAGTCACTTTAGATTTAAGGTTGTCAGGTAGATCTTTAATGTAGATAAGAAAAAAAATAGGACCAAGGATAGAACCTTGAGGTACCCAAGAAGTTACAGGAAATGAAGAAGAGTGTTAGTCTTCAATGATGACTTGAATATTTAGAATATGATTTTAATAAAGCACCTAAAAAGAAACGATTTAATCAAAAACTTTCCTAGATACATAAGAAGCAAAGTTATGGAGAAGACCAGCACACCAAACTTTAGAAATATCAAGAGCAATAGCCCTAGCCTCACTGCCTTTATCTGATGCACGATAAAATCTTTGTTTCTAATGCATGTATCAGTATCATGCATCTAATGCATGTATCAGTATCGTGCACAATAAAATCTTTCAGCAATCAGCAAGTCAGTAGTAGAGGAAGAAGATGGAAAATTCTACTGATTGTCTTAAATTTATTTGACTTGAGGTTAGAGGATAGAAATTTGTTGATCAAAGACTCAAAGACTTTGCTAATAACATAAAGAAGACTGATCAAGACATAAAGAAAACGTTGGAGAAGTCAGAATGATCTCTAGAGTTTTTAAAAAAGTGCTGTCAGGACGATAAGCTGTAGTTGAATTTAAATAATATGACTTTAGCAAAGGAAGACAGCGTGATTTAAATGTTTAATAATGGGTCAACTTGTTTAACTAAAATGAAAAGAATAATATGGCCATTAGATATAAGAGTCAAATTTAAAAAAAGGCAAACAGTTCAGCCTTATCCCTGTGGGGAGGTAATAAAGTCAGTTCCATGAATTAAAGATGGAATGTTAGACCTACCATTGTTAATCACACTGTTAAAGATTTTCCTAAATTCTCTAGAGCCTAATTTCTGAGATATGAGATTTAGTAAACAGGAAATAATGGAGCTTAGCATCAGCCAGCACTTTACATTTTACAATGATTTTATGCAATAATAAATAAGCGTTTGTTCTCAAGAGAGTTGTTCTTTTTTAAAAGGTGAAAAAAAATGATTACAACTAGATATTGCAGCTGCACAAAAAGGTGAAAACCATGGAGTAGAATGAGGCTTGACTTAAAACCGCCAAAAGGAATAAAAGCTTCAATTCCTGCCTGGATCCAGGAGGTTACATAGGAAATGTATTTATTAGCCAAGAGAGAAAAGACATCACCCCAAGGACCATCATAAAAAGTCACAAAAAAAATCCCAGTCAGCTTTAGGAAAGTAATAAGTTGTGCAATGATAGAGTGAGTTTGAAGAAGAAGTACATGATGAAAGATTTAGAATCATTGCATGGTCAGAACCACCTAAAGGATAACTAAGAGAAACTGAACACAAGCTAGGGCCAGAGATAAGACATAAATCAAAGAGTGAAGGTTGATAAGGGTTGTCTTGAAAACCAGTCACAAAATTAACTTTCTGAGTAAAAGATTGAGAGATGCAGAAGCTATGGGTTTTAGTGCCAGTAGGGTCATTGGTGTTAGAGTCAACCCATTCAGTGTGATGAACATTAAAGCCACGAATAACAGCAATATTAGTAAAAGGATAAAGAGAAAAGTCATAGTCAATTTGATCAGAAATTACAACTACTTTGTAGTAGAGAAATTAAAACTAGTATCGTAGTAAAGTGCAGTCTTGAGGAGAAAAAGAATGATAAAGAATATAAGATGATAGAGTGAAGAGGTGCTATAGGGTAACACAAATTAAAACGTGATTTCAAAACAAATAAGTTATTTAATGCATAAATATACCCCTAAGCCAACGATTGATTATTGGAGTCTTTGCAAATCAAAGAACAGTATTCATCAATACTGAGATCTGAAGAAGGAACATCTCTGATGCACTGAGCTCACAGTGCATTAGAGATTTAGGCAGAACACAAACATATATTAAGTAGCTTACCAGTGAGAGAACACCATGCCATATATATATTTCAATTTGAATCAATACCAAAATTTCGGTTTCAGTACTTTTTATAAATTTGGTAAAAACAAAAATTTGGGTTGAAAAACATACCAAAAACCAAATAATTTGAAACTTTTATCTAATTTAGAAAAACAGTTATTTTTGAGAATTTTCATAAATAATTTTAAGAATTTTCACAAAATACCTCAAAAAAATCTTGTTTTGCAGAAAAAATCTGTCAGTTAACTTTCGCTACTAAATATTTCGTTATTAATTATCACCAAATTATGTATTAAATCTCACTTTGTATAATCAATTCTCGCATAATACGATTATAAAAAAACTTGATCTTATTCTTTTAGGATTTTCTGCATTTACAACACTACTCATATTTTAATAAATTTGTGTGTTTGTACATGCATGTATTTATAAGCTTGTGGATTTGTACTTACATATTTTTTGTTTTATCTTTTACTTAGTTATGTATGACTTTTATTTTGGTGGGAGTTAATTTGCATACATTTTTTTTTTTGTCATACTTCTTTTGTATTGTGTTCATATGCAACTATTATAATTATACACATAATTATTGTTGCCAATTAACTAATTTAGTTTCACGTTACTTTTTTTTTACCATTGAAACAAAATTTCAAAAGATTTAATACATTTAAACAAACTTTAAATCAAAAGAACTTAATAATTACAGGAACTAGAAAACTGCAACTTTTAACTCTAAAGATAACTCTTATTCTAAACAGATAATATATAAAGAGATAATATGAACGTTTAAGTAACAAAGCAAACTTCAAAATATAAGTTATAACTGTTAATATTGTAAGTTCAACTGTAACTGTTAATATTGTAAGACAAATTATTTAAGATTTTAGGACATCCATTACAATAATCCATTTTAAATAAAGCTACAAAATATGCAAATAAAAAATAAATAAAAAAAATTTCTACGGTAATATCAAACTAGTTGGAGTCACTAGTCGGTTAATGACCTCACACCATATTAATAAATTTGTATAAAATAAAAAGCTATAAAATATGTAAATAAAAAATTAGAAAAGATTATTAGAATTTTTTTTTTTATATATATAAATAGAAATCCTATTAGAATTTCCAAAGGACAAATGTTTCAAAAGCTTATCATAACTTCAAAGGAACATTTTTTTCCGGGAAGAAAATTCAAAAAATATATCTTAATTTTTTTTTTATTTAGTTTTTGAATATTCAAAACTTTTATTACTTGCAAAATTAAAACTTGGTGAAATTTTACCTGAGTTTTACTAAAATCTGCAAGATCTATTTTATTGATAAGTATAATTCTTGGTTTACGAACATATAAGTCTTCAAAATCCGGATTTAAACAAGATAGAGGAACCTAGGAATAAAAAAAATATATTATTAGGGTTCACACACTAGAAAAAACCTAAAAAAAGAAGTATCAAATATATCTTATAAGTATATATAGTTAAAATATCTTATGCTAAAAAAAGTAGAAATAAAAAAAGTAATATAAAATACAAAAAATATATAAGAATACAAATAGTTTTAATCTCTTTTGCAAATTCCCTTCCTTTGATCACTAATAACTTTTTTTGGTGGACTTAAAACATGAAAGGTGTTACAGCAACCAGCGATTGGTTTACGATTACAGCAACCAGCGAAAGGTGCTACAGCAACCGGAATTTTTTTTTAGGCAATGCTCTGCAACAATCTATTTGGTGAACAAATCTGTTATTGTTAGATCATATTTATTAGTATCTAGGCTTTAGTTTTTTCGATGTTTTTTTTCATCAAATAACAGGGTTAGAGCTGTAGAAACAATTTTAGCTTTGCCATTAGTTTGATATACATTACCCAGGACTGACTATTAGGGAGTGAAACAATTGACACATTCCTCAGTTTTCTTGATATATGTTTCTTGCCTACTACTATAAATTTTTTTCAACAGTACAATTCTTATTTTAAAAAAACTCAAAGGTTCAAAAGTTTCACTAAAAAATTAATTCTAAATATTCATTATATTTTATATTTTTTTCTCCATTATTATAGTAACCAGAATTTTTTCTTTGTAAAAAATAAAAACATTTTTTTTTAACATTTTTTTTGTACAAAACATTTTTTTTTTTTGTAAATGTGTGTAAATTATAATAAAAATTTTATATCATACACAAAAAATTACATAAATTGTATGTAATTTTTTAAAAAATACCAACTTCTATAGAAACGATTAGATTTTAGGTTCCTTTATCTTATAGATATCTTATAGATATCTTATAGATATCTTATAGATATCTTATAGATATCTTATAGATATCTTATAGATATCTTATAGATATCTTATAGATATCTTATAGATATCTTATAGATATCTTATAGATATCTTATAGATATCTTATAGATATCTTATAGATATCTTATAGATATCTTATAGATATCTTATAGATATCTTATAGATGTCATAGATATCTTGTAGATATCTTATAGATATATTGTAAACATCTTATAGATATCTATATCTTAGATAGAGAAACCTAAGAGCTGAAAAAAAAGGTTTATATCTTAAACACAATATTTGTTAGATGTTCTATCAACTGTTACTTATTGTGATTATATATTACTGTTCACAAAAAGCTTTGTGAACAGTAATATTTAAAAACATGAAAATGAAAAATGAACATAAAAAAAAACATGAACATGAAAAACAGTAATAATAAAAAACATGTGACTGTTCAAAAAAAGCTTTGTGAACAGTGATATTTTTTGAGAAAAAATATCACTGTTCACAATTATCACTGTGTAAAAATATCACTGTGTAAAAAACATTTTTCTTAGTTAAAATTCCAAAAAATTGTTTTCATAAAATTACTGGAAAAACCTAGAAAATTTTGCAGTCAACAAATTGACAAAATTTTAGAGAAAAGAGTGAAACAAACTAATAAGTAATTTAAAATTATAAAACTCCTCTTTAAAAAATTTTGATAAAGTTCATTTTATTCTGAAAATGAAAAGCAACAGCATATATATATTTTAACTGTTTTTTGTTTGTTTAAACTTTACACTTTAAGTAATTACTTACTTGACACTTTAAGCTATTTTTATTACTTTAAATTTGAGAAAAAAACAACAAAATCTTATGAAAAAAATCTTAGGGGCAATTGAATTTACTTATTTGTTATATATTATAAAATACTTTTTTGTTACTTTTAAATACAGATTTTAAATACAGATTGCAAATATAGATTTATTCCATGAAAAATTAAGTAATGGAAAATATAGTTTGTTACATACAAATGTAGTAACTCTACAAATTTATTAAATATATAAATTTAAAGAATTTACTACAAATGTAGTAAATTCTTTAAATTTATATACTTGCATAAGAAATCTAAAAACTTAAAAGAATTTTAAAAGAACTTCCAGAATTTCAAGAATTTATGGAAAAAAATTATCTATTATACATATGATATATGGATATCTTTGAAATTTAGTTCTAGAAAATGTTGTTACAATACGGCAACAAAAATTTTATTTAAATTTTTTTGACTATTGAACAATTTATCTATTACACTGGCGCAAATGTATTTATAAAACATTGTTTCCAGGTTAGGATGTCGAATGCTAGATCTTCTTGACTCAATGCATGGGTTCTGCTTGAATCTCTGTTTTTATGACTAGGCAACTCATTCTATTTTCTCCAGCTGGCCTCAGAACCTAAAACTCAGTTTTATGGTTCTGAGGCCAGCTGGTAGTCAGGTTTCTTGAACTCTGCGGTAGCTCTCAGAGAGGCTGATTCCATCAACAGCTGTAAAAATATCAGAGTACTAACAGTGCCATATTGTGGATGGATGGTGTCCCTGTGTTCGTACTTTTAGTGTGAATTGTCAAGGCCAAATTTGGAGCCCTTTATTATGGCTTAGGGTTTATTAATAGTAATATGGCAATTGCTTGGGCTACTAAATAGTGTACTGAGCACTATCTATGCTTTGAGTCAAGTCCTTTAACAAATTCGTAAATGATTAAAGTACCTAAAATTATAAAATTCTCTAAACCTATTATTCAATAATATTCATGGTCTTCAAAGTAACTTTTTTTCTGTTGAGTCTCTGTTGAGTCTATCTCTTGCAAAGTTCACCAGACCTACTTGCTCCTTATGAGACTAATTAAAGTTCAGCTCATCTTGTGATCTTAGTGTTGATGGTTATTTTCCTTTAACTTGTAAAGACTCTAATAAACACATACTTGGCCTGGACATTTACATTTGCAGGCATTCACACATTTGTTGGGAAACTAGGTTTGAATCCATAGACTATGCTTTTATGTGCTTTCATTTAGCACCACTTCACTCTATTGCTTTTCTCTTTGCTCTATATGGCTCTCCTTCATCTCTTTTCAATGTTATCTCTGATCAAATTGATCAATATTTGATCAATAAGTCCTCTTTCTTTATTCATCAGATAATATCCTTGTTGGTGGTGACTCCTAGTTGTTGGTGAATTAAATGCTCATTACATTGAGTGGCTTGGCTCTAGTGTCAGTGACTCTGCAGGCATTAAAGCCCACAACTTTTGCTTTTCTCAATCTTAAACTCAAATAGTCAACTTTCCAACTCACTTTCCAGATAACACAAATCATTTATCTTCTCTATTCAATTTATGTCTTGTTTCTGATCTTAGTCAGTGCTCAGTTTCTCCACATTCAACCATAGGTGCTTCTGATCACGGTTTGATCTCTCTAAAACTATTATCTCATTCTTCTTCATCATTAGAATCCCCTTATCATTGTACCTCTTACAACTACCCTAAAGCTGACTGGGACTCTTTTCATTATTTTCTTTGTGACGGCCCTTGGGTAAAAATATTTGGTCTTCCTGCTGATAAATGAGCTTCTTACATAATTTCTTGGGTTCAGGCTGGCATGGAATCTTTTATTCCCTTTCAAGGATTCCAAGTCAAGCCTTACTCTTCTCCATGGTTACCTTACATTGTGCTGCTGCCATTTTCAATCGAAACCAATACTTCCATATATTTATCAGCATAATAATTCCTCAGAAAACAGACATCAGTTTACTATTGCTAAAAACCATTGTAAAAAGGTTTTATCTAACGCCAAAGCCTACTACTCTCGGGTCATGAAATCTCTTATTTCATCTCAAAAATTAGGCTTTTGTAACTTCTGGAGAATCTTTAACAGTATCAATAATAAGGCCAAATATGTTATTCCACCTCTCTTGTATGGTTCAGATTATGTCATCTCTCCTAACAAAGCTAAATTATTTGCTAAAAAATTTTCATCAATATCATCTCTTGATTCCACTAGTGGCACTATACCTGATATTGCTGACAAATAGGTTGATCTATTGCCTGACATTCATATTACTCCAGCTTCTGTATCTAAAGTGATTTCCTGCTTAGACTTTTCTTCAGCCTGTGGTCTGGATAACATACCTGTTATATTCTTGCAGAAGTGTTCTCCGGAGCTGTCATCTATTCTCTTAAAACTATTTAACAAGTATTTATCAGAGTTTTGTTTTCCACCATGCTAGAAAGCAGCATCTGTTATACCTATTTTCAAAAATTCTAGAGAGCAATCTGTTTCATCTATTGTTCCATTAGCATGTATGTATGTATTTATGTATTTATGCATGTATGTATATATGTATGTATATTTATATTTATGTATGTATATATATATGTATATTTATATTTATGTATGTATGTATGTATATTTAAAGAATCAACTGAAAGTTAATACATTTTATCATACCCTAGCATCGCGTATCTCAATAACACAATCGCATCTATTTACTTTAGCTCGCATAATTTGCAGACCTAAAAAAAAGACACTTTTATTAAAACTTCAACATAAATTTGCGCATATTTAATATAATTGCATCTATAATGAAACAAGGATTGCATATAATCCTAATATAAACCAAAATTTGAATAAAAATTATATACATATAAATTGTTGCTTAAATAATGTTTATAACTTCAGTTAAAAAAATTTCCTAATTCCAAATCTGGTTTTTTTAAATTTTTTCTTTTGGAGGTTAATTCAGTTATTTACTTAAAACAAGATACCACAGTAAAGCATTCAGTATTTTGAAAACTTTATGAGCATCTGAATATCCTTCATAGATTCACATTTTAGAACAACATTATTTTAAATAGAAAAAAAACTATTAGTTAGTTCATATATAACCTTTTTTTTTTATTTTCAAGATTTTGTAAAAATATTTAAGAAAAAAGTTAACAATAGTTATCATGGCCAAGCAAAGCAATTCAGACAGTTTTAGGGTTTTAATTTAAAAAATCTTAAAAAAATCAACAACCAAAAAAAAGAAACCTCTGACCATATGATACGGAAGAACTTTGAAAAAAACATCTTTATTGAAGTAAATGGGAAACTCAAACTTCGCCCTCATTTACATTAATCTAACCCTACAAAAACAACAACAAGAAGATATTTATTCTCTTTTTTAAATCATACAATAGGTAATGTTATATATATATATATATTATATATATATATATATATATATATATATATATATATATATATATATATATATATATATATATATATATACATATATATATACATATATATATATATATATATATATATATATATATATATATATATATATATATATATATATATATATATATATATATATATATATATATATATATATATATATATATTATATATATATATATATATATATTTATATATATATATATATATATATATATATTATATATATATATATATATATATATATATATATATATATATATATATATATATCCCTCAACCATAATTTTGATCAAAGCAGTGACACCAGTTTTTAAATATAATATAATTAATAACAAGCATAAACACATAGAATATACATAAACTGAGTAATTATTTAAAAATCATACTTTGATGATAATAATAAAAAATAAACAAACAAGAAGTTAATGAAAATAATTGTAGTAACCAAAATAAATAAAAAAAAAAAACATATTTTAAATATTGAGTGAAAATCATATAAGTTCGAACATAATTGTTCTCAGAATTTTGTTCGAACAAAATTCTGATTTTGTTTAAGATTAAGAAGAGAAGATAAAGGTGTTTGAAGTTGTAGTTTTTTGAACTCATTCACTATGCATACAAGACTCCTGTTTCATTTACAAATGCACTGATAGACAACAGAATGTTTACCATACTTCTGAGATTAAAAAGAAGGTACACTAAGTTCTCCATTGTATGTTTCTAGTAGAGTATGTATGTGTTATTCTTCTTTCTGTAAAAAAAAGTCTGAAATAAAGGAGGGCAAATTTTTAATAAAATAGTTAAAAACAAAAAGATGAGCAAATTTTACAAGCGTTAGTAAGGCTGGAAATTTAAGTTTTTAGAAAGATTCTGATGTTTATGACTTAAAAGGTTGGAATTTTATAATTCTTATGATTGACGTTGAGAATATATTAATTTTTTACTACTCTTTATGAGAATCTTATTTAAAAGATAAATATAATGAAAACGTAAACAAACTCAAGGTAGAGTTTAATTTCGGCAGCATGTGACTTAAATTTACGCTGTTGCTCGCGCAACGTACTGTCGCTTTTTCTTTTTGATTTATCAAGTAACGGAGAACGAAACCTAATCGGTACATTTTCGAATTTGTGGAACTGTGAAACTCAAAGCTTCATTTTTTAAAACTCAAAGCTTCATTTTGATTCATGTTATTTACTACTTGCATAACTTTTTAGGATAACGTTAATGTTGGTTGTGTTTAGATCATATCCCATTAGGAACGATTATTTATATTTGCGTATTTTTAATTGCAAGGTAGATAAAAGATTAAAAAGCAAGCGAGATAAAAACAATAGTAAAAATTCGTCGGCGATAGTGCAAATCCGCGTTACTACCATTGGCTACTATATTCGGATATTATTAATTTTAACACCAAATATTTATTGTTGAGATTACAAAAAATATGAATAAATACTTTTGGGTTCATTTTATACGAAAATGAACCCAAATTCAGTTAAAATAAAAAATATATAAAGTTTTAAACTTCTTCAGTAAAAAAAATGTATTGTAGATATGCGGTATTATCCAATGCTAGTTAAGCGGTTTTGCACTATTTCCGACAATTTTGTTTTCTAAATGACATTGAAGTGTTATTAAATTTACCTTAAATAACGGTACTATTTAATAAAAATATAGAATAACAATAAACAAAACTAACAATGAGCAATGTTTAAAAATGATTTAAGTACCAAAAATGCACTATATACTGCTTAAAATAACAATCTCTAATTTTAAATAAACTTTTTTAGGGTAAAACCACCAAATCATGGCCGCTTAATCTTAAACTGCTTCATATTACCGCGAATGGCTTAGATTCTTAAAAATATTTCTAAACTCTTAAAAAACCTCTTGAGATACAATTTATGACAAGTTTGGAAGTTTTTGTTAATAAGTTAACAAGTTTTAGCACAAATATTACAAGGCGTGAAAAACATCAAATCTTGGCCAGAGATCCAAAACATGGTCGTTGCGAATTTATTCCTGGCCATTAAGTTTTACGAAGTAAAAATAGTGATAATACTTTTAAATTTAAATTAAAAACAAAAGAAATTTATTGTAAAGAGTTTAAAAAAAGAAGTTCTGCATAAATTTTTACTCGTATAAATTTAGTTCTTTTTTTAACAGGTAAACAAACAATAGATTTTAAAGCGCTTCACAACATTTAATGTTTTCAAATTAGCAAATGTCTTCAAATAAATAAAAAACGGCTTCGAGCGTTTAAGTGCTTTAAGTGCTTCGAGCGGGAACGAACCCGCAACCTTTGGTTGCTCTAACCAATGCACCACGGCTGCTAAAATCTAATAATAATCATTTCATTTATATCGTATCTACACTCTAAACCCGAATGGTTCTTCAAAGAACGTTTAAGGGTTCTTCGTGTTGACGCTGGTGGAGAACTTGTAGAGGTTCTTTAAAGAACCCTTTGCGAAGGTTCTTCGGAAGAACCTTAAAATAAGGTTCTTTAAAGAACCCGTTATAGTTTTTTAACAAACCGTTAAATATTTTTGTATTAATATTTCGTTGCACGGATACTTTTTTGACTTCTTGAACATTTTTTGTTATCTGATATTTATATAATATATAACTTTTTAATAGATTTTTAATATTTAATTATTTAATTATAATTATTTAAGATATTTAAGCTAGTTACTTAAGGCCAAAATAAAAATGCAAACAATGACTTTCCTAAATATTTTACATATATTTCAATATATGGCAATAAAGAAAAAAAAACTTTTTTTAAACAATTGATATAAATATTTTCAAAAAATTAACAAAAATAAATTTTATTTTACAATCCAATAAATCTATGCTTATAAAAATATGTCATCAATTATAAAAAAAGTTTTCTAGTGTTAAATCCACTGTCCAATATATAAATGTTTTTGCTTGAAATTAGCTTTTGGAATAAACGTGAGATTTCTGAAGTCGCATTCGTTTGAAGAAATATCTAAAATTCAATAATGGAATGAATATATATATATATATATATATATATATATATATATATATATATATATATATATATAATATATATATATATATATATATATATATATATATATATATATATATATATATAAAGAGAGAGAGAGAGAGAGAGAGAGAGAGAGAGAGAAATCACAATAGATAATATTGTACAATTCATTATTTGTAATGCAAATCAATTTTGAATAAAAAATTATATATATATATATATATATATATATATATATATATATATATATATATATATATATATATATATATATATATATATATATATATATATATATGTATATATATATATATGCTTGTAAGTCTTGTCCAAAAAAGGCTTGTTAAAGTGAAATTCGATCTCTTTTCGACCACTATGTTGAGTGCACGATGGAGTGCAATTAGTAGATAAGATATCTAAATAATCAATTTTTAAAAACTTTTTCATCACCTGAAACTCAAACATAATTTATAAATACATTTCTTTTTTTCAAATTTCAAAGTATAAATATGAAGACAATCTTTAATGTAGGTATGAGAACTTATGATTGTGCTGAGAGCACAATCATAAGTTAGTAGACAGAAAGGAGCCTGTTCGTTTAAACATCTCACATTTCATATTGAGTCAAATGACTTGCTGTCAGACAATCAATACAGTTTTCGATTCTCTCGCTCCACGATTTGCTAACTGGCTAACTACTTTGACTGAAAGATTGTGCATTAGATAAAGGCTGAGAGGCAAGGGCTATTGCTCTTGACTTATCTAAGGCTTTCAACAAAGTTTGGCATATTAGTCTTCTCCATAAGCTTGATTCATATGGTGTATCTGGAAGAGTTTTTGAGATTATCAAATCGTTTCTTTGTAATGGTTTATAAAGCTCATCATCAAAAGCCAACACTCTTATTCATTTTCAGTAACTTCTGGGGTACCTCAAGGTTCTATTCTTGGTCTTGTTTTGTTTTTTATCTACATTATTAATTTTTCCAGCAACATTACATATAAGGTAACTCTTTTTGCTGATGACTCAACTTTATACTCCTGTCTTGACAAAAAGTCTTCTGTTTTAGATTGCTTAGAACAGGCAGCCGATCTTGAATCTGATCTCACTTCTTCGTGCTCATCATTTCATCTCTCCTGATTCCATTCTTCACCTCTACTAATCTCTTATTTGCACCTGTATGGAAAACTGTTGTCATATTTGGGCTGGTTCTTCTTATGATGCTCTTTCTTTTCTAGACAAGGTTCAAAAATGCATTGTAAATATAGTTGGACTTGGTCTATCTTCTAAGCTCAAGTCTCTTTCCCATCATCTTAAAGTTAGATCTTTCTCTTTTCTACAAATACTATCATGGTCACTCCTCTAAGAAGCTTTTATCTCTAGTTCCATGTACTAAAACTCATTCTCGCTTGACTCTTCATTTAACAAAGTCTCATTCATTTTACTGTATTTGTCCCTGCATGCTCCAAAAACTTATATTCGACTAGTTTTTTTCCACACACTTTAGAGCTCTTTCAACCCTTAAAACTATCTATCTTTTTTCAAACCTTTGGAGCTCTCTCTCATCTTAATGTTTTATATATATATATATATATACATATATATATATATATATATATATATATATATATATATATATATATATATATATATATATATATATATATATATATATATATTTGTATAGATTTCGATATATAGTATATATTCGAGGTTAAGTATTTTGATGTAATAATACAAAGTCTCTTGTACGTGTTACAGTGCTCAATATTACTGAATTATATATATATATATATATATATATATATATATATATATATATATATATATATATATATATATATATATATATATATATATATATATATATATATATATATATATATATATATATATATATATATATATATATATATATAT